AAACAAACTAAAAACGACTTCCAAAAACATTCAGCTTTGATATTAATGAGTTTTTTGGGTTCATTGAGAACATGGTTGTTGATCAATAATAAAATTATTCCTCAAAAATACAACTTGCCTAATAATTCTGCACTTCCTGTATATGTGGTGAAGATGGGCTATGCAAAACATCAGCCTCAATCTCCCACCTGACAATAGTTGGGTGTGATATTTATACTTATGATGACCAGTAACTCGCATCACCGCAGATGAAAAACAACATGCATGTTCCAGTAATTCTATCTCAGGGGATATTCTAAAAAAGAACAGTTCCTTCCTATGTTCGTCCACCACCTACCAGATGCATCCTGTTATTACACTCTTCTGGACTTATCAGAACTAAACTGTCACGTATGCAGGTACACAACATTTGCAGTCAGTTCACCCAGGCAGACCATGTGTCTGTGTTGTTAACCTTAGCGCATGACCTCCCCTCTACGTCATCTGTTACCAGGCAAACATCAGTGCAGCAGGCTGCTGAATGCACACAGGCAATATGTGGTAAATTGTACTGTAAACATGTAGGCAATTCTTTCAGCTTGAACTTTGATCCATTGATCAGTCGAACTCGCGCCGGTTGTAGCTTCAAATCATTAATTATATGTGTATAACATGATTACAGTTGCACCTGCAATGAAAGATTATTATGTGCTTATGCTAACACCTGAAATACAGACTTTAATATAACATCAAAAGTTTCAATAAATGTGTCAATGAAATGATAATAATGATAAATCATAAGTGATGCAACAGTAATAATAATGATTATAAATAGTAATAATAATAATAATAATAATAATAATACATTTTATTTAAAAATAGCGCCTTTCAAAGCACCCAAGGACACTGTACAACAGATAAAAACACCCAAACTGGAAATATACACAATAAAAAGAATAACAGATAAAAGTTAAGAGCATACAAAGGTTTAAACATAAGCAATTTTAAACAGATGAGTTTTGACTTAAAAAGAGGGAATGAACTAATATTTCTGAGGTCAGGGGGTAAGGAATTCCAAAGTCGAGGGGCAGAGCAACTAAAAGCCCCGCCCCCCATTGTGATCAGACGAGCAGAAGGAACAGAGAGAGAAAGAGAAGATGAAGATCTGATGCACCGGGATGGGAAGTTCATCTGTTCTAAATCGGAGAGGTATGGTGGAGAGAGAGAATGAATAGCCTTAAATGTATA